CATTCTGTATAAAAGTGGAGATTCTAGCTAACAAACTCTTTTTCATCTACCCACTATACTGGACCTTAGACCACCTTTGATTTTCTATCTGTTGTTGCTGTGCTTTTAAATTTTTGCTGTGTCTGAAATCTTATATCATTTTAATATTGTACCCAAAGCTAAATATTGTCTGGAAAGCAGCACTCCTAATGTATATAGACGACACAGAAAGATTTCTCAACAGAATTGACCTCTCAGTGGCAAAGAAAATTGCAGTGGAAGACACATTATTGCGCAGTCATATCAGAGCCTTGGATCTGTGGAGAGTCTCACTCCACTGTCCTCCAGCTTTTCCTTATAAACCCAAATGGCTTACAAATGTCATCTACAATAGTCCAATAAAGATTAGGAATAAAACACTGTCCTCACATTGATGAGATAAGAAAGATTCGGCGACAGAATGCAGCATAGAAAACAATTCATAAGGCTGGTTCTCAGATCAGAAAAATGGAATTCAAATTACATTTGTGTGTGTGCGTGTGTGTGTGTGTGTGTGTGTGTGTAGAATTTAATTGAGATGATCAGTTTATTTTCTACATAATGTTTGATCAGACGCCTGTATTACAGAACCAGATAAAAAGAAAAGAAAGAAAAGAAATTCCATCAGGGAAATCAAGAAGACCCGTTATCTACAGGGTGTGCAAAATATGTTAGAAAATAATTCTACCCTGTGCACCGAGAATGCCCAGTTAATAAAAAAAAGATCAGCCACTCGCTAAGAGAAAATAATTGTCTGTATCTATATTTTTCAAAGCAAAAAGCAGTCACATCTTACACCAAATAGGGCACATTAAAATAAGCTTTAATAATCTTTATGCAGAAGGAAACTAATCCATTTTCAGATCATACGATCCACAGCAATAAAAGGAAATCATCAAACTAAAAACAATTTTAGAAATGGCTGCAGACTCTCATTTAATTAACATGCAACAGATCATATATTTATGAGGAAGTCAAAATATTTAGGAAGCCTATAATCCTGTAAGCTTTAATGTGGTAGAAAAACAACAAACAAATGCAAAGTGTTACTGTTACACATGCCTGCCTGATCAATGGTGTTCACATATTGATCTATAAATGGAGTTGACAGTCTCTGTTGCCTGCACATTTTCCAAGCAGTGCTATTTTTGCACAAAACCAATACGGGCAATTACCTTTGTTTGAGATGCCAAGTCTTATCAATTCAATGTGATTTAGTGTCATTTTAATTAAATATCAGGATCCACTTCAGGACAATTTATCCAAACAAAGCCTCAAACCTAACTACAAGCCTGATTTGAAGTAAATATGGACATGCCCTACAATCTCATAATATTTCTCAAAAACTCTGCTAAACAGAAGGCTTATATTTTTAGTAGCAATTTTTATGTCTGCCTTTTTGGCTAGCCACAACTTTGGCAAGTACCCTATAATCACAGAAGTAAGAAACAAAAGAAAATTGTTTCCTCTTTTTCCTGATAATACATTGAAAAGAAAAATGAGCAAGTGCAGTGTGTTAATGGAAGTAAAAGGAATCTTGTATGTTAACATGTTGGAATAGCTTGACCAAAGTCTTCATATAAAGACCACTAAAAAGATATTTCCCTGCTCATGATGGCCGTGAGTGAAGTGATGCCCTTTTGTGGGCTTGCAGGATGGAAGCAGTGAATATTCATGCACAGGGCTGCTTAAGACCCCAGCAGGAAATGCTGAAATGGCTCCAGTCTGCAGGTTCCTGATCTGGGATGTTTAACTCTCCATTAATATCTATTCTAAACTGTCTAGTAGACTGGCGCATCCTCCTATAAATAGCATCAAAGTGTGTTAAACCTTTCACACCAGCTGTTTGCTGGGTAGCACACTGGCCTTTTCAGCCTTAAACCTGAGCCTTTGCTTTATTTACTTGCCGTCTGCTGTCGGCTCCTCTGGCTAGCAGATTCTGGTAAAATAGCCATCCACCTTTCAGAGACTCAGGATGGGACAACAAATCACCCCAGAGGCCACAGAGCTTCCTTGCCCGCCGAAAGGCTCTCTCCGGATTTCTTTTATGGATTGGCAATTTTCTTGCAAAGCGCACCCTTCTATGCCCAGTGTCCCACCTCTCCAACTTTCCCTGGGTAACAAAGCAGCCTCCTGACAATTTTAAGATTATGATTTGGTGTTTAAGGAAACAACACACATCAGTAACACACTGATGGAGTCCAGCTTCCCTGAATGCTTCCCTATAACATTTATGTCATCACAATCCATAAATTAGCAAAAAGAAAAGAAAAACAAATTCATCTCTGCTCATATTGCTTAGGGTTGAAGAAACACATAGTCTTGAATTTTAAGATACATAGAGGCACTTTCAAGTTACTTGTTATTTATTTGGTATCATAAGTACAGTCATATTAAAAATAGTGCAACTGAACAAAATGAATAAGAATTGATGAATTAGTGAAAACTCTATAATTGACTTCCTAAAGATTGAAAATCATTGTATAATATATTAAATCACTGTAAATAGAATATCAGGCAATGCTGTTATGATTTAGTCCAGTGAGTTCAATGAGACCTAACACAGTTGTTATCCTGGTAAACAGATAGATAGCATATACAGGACATACTTATTAAACAAGTGTTCAGCACATGTGTAACCTCTAAATATCCAATGTTTTTCTGTAGAAATTGCATGTATGTGTCTCTGTTACAACCAACTTCTTCATCTGAACTTGTATACACATTTTGACAGTATAGCTCATCCCACTTCTGAATTCAAACTCTCCTCTTTGACCTCACCCGGTCACCCAACTTTTGAAAAATCAAGGTCTTAGTTTAGCCTGAGCATATAACTTTAACAGGCTTGTTTGAATAAATATGCCAAAATACTTTACATTCTGTCAGTATCTAGTCAGAAAATTGTGCGTGGAAAAAAGAGATGAAAAGAACTGAGACAGAAAGAAAATTAGTGCCATGGCAAGCTTTCAATGCGGTGTCTCTGAGCCAAGTTTTCTCCGTGAAATGACATCTCCTCACTAAAATATGCCTTTTATATAATTATGCACTGAGTATACATAACCAGAAGTAACTTTTATTTTTGTTCCTTATCGAGGAATCCATATTGCTCAGGCTAAGAATGCGGAAACAAAAGAGGGGATAATTATAGCTAATTTAACTTCGGAAAACTCTTATTTTCCGGCAGTCCAGCCTACAACCCCCCAAACTAAAGTTATGTAACAAGGTAATACCAACAATGAGAAACTGCATGATAAAATCCTGCCCAAAAGTGAAAAATGCTAATTTTGTCTCATTTAGCAGCTGGATACAGAAATGCTCATTAGTTTTAAGAGGGTTAATCCTTTTAACTTTTGCATATTGATATGCCAATTATGCCTAATTGTACAAGAGGCATCAGTCAAGGTAATAGTGCATAAACACATGAAAGTTATTAAGTACATCCCAACATGTAATAAAGTAGGTGTTAATTGGTAGCTGAGTTCTGCGGGCTATTGAGGTGGATAATTCATTGAGAGATGGATCACTTGTAATTTCTCTCCATAATTCCTTTTGCAGTCTCATGCTGTGATGTTTTCATGCTTGTCAAAAACAACTGCGGCATAGTGCCTTTTGTTAAACACAGCCAATAAAATATGTTAGGCATCATTAAATATACTTAACTTTTAAACTTTTCAAAGGTACAGTTCTTATGGATAGTACATATAGAGAGTCCGCTAATTTAGTCTAACCATTGTTTCAAGTTCATAGTGGAGAACAGTTTAGCTGCTTGAAAAGTGAAGTCCGCTAACAGTGCTGTGCCTCCCAGCAGACAATTGTTGTAAATGAGAAAGTCAATAAAGGAAAACGCTTTTCTCATGAGTTACCTTATCTAAGGATGCTTTTCTCACTCCCTCAGTATCACCACTTCCCCATGCTAAAGCTGTCTCTACCACCTGAGGAAAGAATCATTAAATGCACATATTTCTCAAACTCCTGAGATTGATGTGGGTTAATTTTGCACTTGAAATTCAAGTGAAAAATGGGAAATAAATATAATTGGTAACATGCTACTCAGCAAGTTTATCTCATTTAATAACTCAGTTAGGGAGCTGAATATTTCATAGGCCCCTATGATATTAACAGAACACTCAATTAATAGCTCACATGTTTCTGCAGGGTGACTGGGACTCACAGTCTATCCCCAGCTAACCTATTTCTCGCTCTTGCTCTCACTGTGAGAAACAAAATAGATCCGGGGTCCAAAAGAGTGGCTAACATTGCATAAATAATTTTGCAACATCCTATGGCCTCAGCTGCAAGTTACCACCATTATGGAAGAAAATTAACCAGAGGAGACCCATCGTAATCAGTGGGTTTAGTGGCTTAGGATGCGTGCAGGGCCAGGGACACAATTGGCAGTAGAGTTAGCTCATCTCTAACTATTTTATTTCAAATCCTTCTAATGACACATTATCGAAACAAAATGTCTTCCTCTCCAAACCTTAAATAGCCACATGATTTCAACCCTTTAAGCCTACTATGAATCAAACCATAAACTCTATTCTTTTATATTATTGGGATATTTTAAAGAAGAGATTTTCACATTTTTTCAAGTTTTTTTTTTTTTTTTCCTCTCAGATCTTTCTTAGCTAATTTTAGCCTCTGGCTTTTCAAAGTGATGTACTGTATTTGGAAGTACAAACACCACATGCTAGCATAACCTCATTATTTTTATGACACTGAAGCATGGTAGCAGAGGCCCTTAAAATGAGTCAAAGGTGCTCTTCAGCCTGCTTCCAAATCCACTTTATCACTCTGGATTAGGCCCAGCTCTGCTCTTGTAACTGGGATATTATTATGACTATAAGTAGGCAAGATAAAATGCACTGCAAAAACAGTTTTCTCATGCACATTAAGTAAACAAATAAAACAAAGCTAATTAGCTTTTTTTCAAAAAGCCTGTCTGATAAGAGAATGTGGCATATTTGGAGTATTTGACTTACAGGTTCAGTGACCTTCCCAGCATCTGTGAGGATCATGGATTTAGTTTGGCTCAGCCTGTCATGGTGGCTGTTGGCATTTTTGATTCTCATTTGCACAGCTCCCGAAGCTTGGTGGGCAGAATTCAGTCCTTCCAAAGGGGTATCACTATTTGTAGAGGTCTGCATATTACAGTGTTATCCTGATGAAATATAAAACATAATATTTTTCTAAATATACACTCTGTGAAAAACTATTGGTGCACCGATACTCCTATTAACTGTTAAGTTATTAAAATTGAATAAGAATCTTTCCCTCTCTGAGCAATATATGAGAAGATAGTTACTCAGTGGTCATTTCTAGCAATTTCAGCCTCCATCAGTACAGAAGACAGCTTTCAGATATATGCAGACAGCACATCTCTGCTCTGTGTAACCCCAAATCCTATTAAGAAACTTGTCTATGGATGGTGGGTAGAGATGGCTCAGCAGTTAAGAGCACATACTGTTCCTACAGAGGCCTGAAGATGGGCTCTCAACATCAACATCCTTGTTGGGGTGGGTCACAACTGCCTGCAAATCCAGCTCCAGGGGATCTGACACCTCCTCCTAGCCTCCCCAGGCACTGGGCTCATATGCACAAACCACAGTCTCACATGTACATAAACACATAATTCGAAATTAAAATATTCCGTGTCCCTGAGTGTTTTGCTGTATGAAAGTTGTATGTAAGTGTACCACATGCGTGCAGTGCCTGTGGAGGCCAGAAGAAGGTGTTGGATCCCCTGGAACTGGAGTTATGGACAGTTGTTAGCCACCATGTGAGTGCTGGGAACCAAGCCCAGGGTCTCTGCGAGAGCACCAAGTGCTCTTAATGGTTGAGCCATCTCTGCAACCCCTAAAATAAAATCTTTAAAAAATATTTTTAAAGTATTTTATCTATTATTTTTATTTTATGTGTATGAATGTATTGCCTGCATGTGTGTAAGTGTACCCATGTCATGGTATCATGAAATGCCTGCAGAGACCAGAAGAGGGTGTCAGATCCCCTGGAAATTGACTTATGGACAGTTGTTAGGCACCATGTGTGTGCTGGCAATCAAATCCGTCCCCTGGAAAATTGCTGAGCCATCTCTAGAGCCTCTAAAATATAATCTTAAAAAATAAACTTCTACATGGTGCAGTCTTCCCCATTTGGACATGATAGCTCCAACTATTCACCTTAAAATACAGGCTTTTCATTCACAGCCTTGGATCCACTATACCCTTTGATTACTTCCAGCACCATGAGCATGTGTATGAATCACACCAAAATTAAAGAAGCAGAATTAGTGTCAGAGCAAAACAAACATATCCGATGAGCCCCACCTCTACTCAAAATGTCCACAGTGAAAAATTAAACGTTTTTGTCCACTGACACCTTCCTATTAAACTGTTTTTTGAGATAAAGTCAGATACAGTATTTAAAAAGAACATGATGAAAAAGAAAATCAATACCATTTACTTATTTATAATATATTTAATAGAATGAGTCTGACTTAGGCAAGAAAAAAATCAGTGTGTGCATAGTTCAAAGAAGCAGCAATGAAAATAATATAATTTGTGAAAATAAATTTAAACTGGGCAGCATGAGAAGAGTTTCATCTGCTTCCTCAAGTCCATGAGTCTCTTCGGCCTGCCCCTTCTTTTTCTGTCCATCAAGTGAACATAGCCTCTCATCAAAAGGGAACATTCACAATGCAAACACAACTTTCCAATAGTAGCAGACCTCTTTTTAGTCTGGTCATTGCCTCCAGTTCTTTTCTATATAGACTTCATATCCTCCACACTGGGCATATGGTTACAACATTAGACAAAGTGACTAGTAAGTTGTAGAAGCCCATATCACCCAAAAGAACAATTACATGTTAAGTAAGGGGAGCCAACAACATTAATATCATAGGTTGTGAAATAGACATTCAATCCAACTTTCATACAGGAGAGAAATGAAGATTGAAGGGGCTAATGACCTTCCCAATGACAATGGAAAAGAAGGCAAAGTGTATACCTGATTCCAAAAGAGCAGTCGAGAGGGACAAATCCTAGTCTATCTTTACAATGAAAAAAGTAAAACAAAACAGGTGGAGACATGGCTCCCTGGTGAAGAGCAAGTACCACTCTTGAAGAAGACCTAGGTATGGTTTCCAGCACCTACACTGGGTGGCTCAGAAATGTCCGTGACTCTAGTTCTAGAGGATCCAATGCCTCTAGGCACATGTACTCACATGAACACCACAGTACATACAGGCACATGTACTCACATGAACATACACCCACAGAGATACAAACACAAACCCATAATTAAATAATTTTTAAATATGGAACAATTCATTCACTGTAGAGAATTTAAAATTCATTCTGGAGACTGGAGAGACGCTTTAGTAGTTAAAATCACTGGCTGCTCTTACAGAGGATCTGGGTTTGGCTCCCAGCATCACCATGGCAGCTAACAACTGTCTGTAACTCCAGTTCCAAGGCATCTAACACCTTCTCTGGCCTCTGTGGGCATTGCATGCAAAAACATACATAAAATAAAAATAAATAAATAAATTTTTTTAAATAAAAAACTCATTCTACTGAATGAATAAAGCCAGTCGGAGGGAAAATGGAGTTATAAGAATTCTAACTGGTCACATATATCTGTAATCTCAGCACTTAGGAGGGTGAAGCAAGAGTATGATGAGTTTCAGGCCATACAGGGCCTAGGACAAGAAACTGTTTCAAAAATAAAAAATAAAGGATAGCATTTATTCTGTGATTTTATTTGTATAAAGTTCTTTAAAAAGTGAAAACTGGGGCTGGAGAGATGGCTCAGTGGTTAAGAGCATGGGCTGTTTGTACAGAGGACCCAGGTTTGACTCCCAGTGTCCACAGGGCAACTAACAACCATCTGTAACTCTAGTTCCAGGACATCCAATGCCCTCTACTAACCTCCTTGGACATTTCACAATATGGGTACACTTACACACATGCAGACAGTACACTCATACACATAAAAAATATGTGTAAACCAACATGGGACAGAAATCCAAACAGCAATTGCTTAAGAAGGAAAGGAGACAGTACAGGCAGGTATGGCTTAACTTGAATATGAGGAAACTTTAGGATGATGGAGATGTTGGTTATCTTGATTGTGGTGATGATTTCATAAGCATATGCATGCATTTAAAATGAATAATTGTTTAGTAATTTCACTTTATCATACATCATTGATAATACACAGTTGTTTATAAGAAAATTGTTTGGGAACTCCTTAACTCATTTTTGCTCTTATATTCATCTTTATGTGCCTACACAAATGTGTTATAAAAATATGCAATTGAATACAGAAGTGCTTTTCAATGGGTATAAATTAAAATTTGAGGTGATAGTTAAATTTTACCTTTCTCTAGAAAATTCTTCTCTTTCTTAAATGAGATTCTCCTCTGAGTATATTCCACATTACTCAATAGACTCAAAGTCTAAGCTCAGGAAGTCTATAACATCAGTAGGGGACCCACTCTGAAGCCACTGTCTGACCAGGAACATGCAGCCACTGTATTTACATAGGCATTTATAGGACATGGTGCTTTCTCTGCATCTGCACAAGTTTGGGTCACAAATAAAAATTATTTTGGCTAGCTTTCATAGTGTTGGAAGGTGCTATGCATGCTATCAGAAAAGTAATCATCAGTCTTACCCAGCTGTGAACTCTTGAACCACAATAAGCCAGGCCCACTAGTGCAATACTGGCAGGAATGTTATGGGAGTAACCAGCCACCCTCTGATTGGATGTAAGACCTGATCCATAAGATGGAACTCATACCTGGCACTGTTATCAGGAATAAGAACTTGTGGCTAGACAAATCATGGGCCTGAACCTGCTACTAACATTCTACCAAGTGGACATTGTATTTAAATGACTCCTAATGACTTATTGCCATAATATTAGTGCATCTCTCAACTCTCACAAGTTTCTTCTTGTCATAGAAGGCAATTAACACACAGAGACCCACAAATGGTCATAGAGCAGAGGATGAGTCTGTGGAGTGCTCAGAACTAAATGGCACATCTATTATTCCCCTTCCCCTAAGTCTTAGGGAACCTCATAGAAGAGGGGTAAAAGGATTGTATGAGCCAGGAGAGGTGGATGACTACAAGGAAACAGAGTTTTCCAGACAGCAGGACAGTTGTGCATATGAAATCAGTGACTATGACAGCATGCCCAAGACCTGCTCAAGCTGAAGCCATATAAAATCCCATCATAGGGGTGGGGAAGGTGCACCAATTTCTACCCCTAGCTGAGCAGCTATAGGCATTTGATAGCTGCTGGGAGAGGATGACGAGTTAGTTTTCTTTTAAGTGTGTGATCCCTTCTAGGTGTAGGCACAAATCAAGGGCAGAGTCCACACCTAAGAGTTTTTGAGCAACACCTATTGGACTCGACCCGGGTAGGGGGGATGTGAAATTGGGATGCTGGGTGGGTAGGGAGGTGGGGGTGGATTGGGAATTGGGGAGAGGGTAGAATATGATCAAAATACATTATGAAGTTCTAAAATAATAAAAATATTTTTAAAATTTGCATTTTTATACTGATATTACAATCAACTATATTTGTTTAGTGATGTATTGCTGTCAAAAGTCAGAAATATTTACAAAGCTTCTTTTCTGGTTTTCCTGGTGGTTTACTCTGGGACTGGCTATAGAAAATGTTTTCAAGATTTATTTCAGAGCTTTCCCTCTGCTTGATGGCTGCCCTCACCTACTGCTGTTAAACTCTAGTTTTTTTTTTTTCCCCCAACCCTCCTCCTTGTTTGCTCTGATCCCACCCCTACTTCTTATAAGCAACTCTCTACACTGTGCTTCATTTCTTTATTCAGCTTCCCTTGTACAGTAGTCCTCCCTAAGGAATCTATTCCAAATCTCCTAGTGGATTCCTGAAACTGAATAGTGCTGAGTGCTTCATTTACAGTGCTTTCTCCTACATATACATACCTGTGATAAAGGCAATCTGCAAATAAGGCACATTAAGAGCTTCACTATTCAGTGACTCATAATGGAAGTTATGCAAATTAAGACTTCTTTCTTTTAATACTGTACTGCCCTTACCCTTCTAGTGATAAAGAGGGACACACATGCCAATGTAATGATGTAGTGTGTGAATTTTGCTGACTTGATTTAAAAC